TCTTTCCCTTGAGTTCCAAGAAAAAAACCCTGTATTTTTATTAACATTTTTTCTTTCTTTAAGCAGATTTTAGTTACTTACCAAAAAAAGAGTCTAACCAAAACAGGCAGCAGGCTTTAATTGAAACTCTAAAAGCCTGGAATGTCTAAGCAACCCAACTCTACAGCAGAAAAATGATTTTTAAAAAGTACACTGAAATATTAAACCTCCTAATCCATGCTATTCAGGAGAATCGGCTATTTTGAATCAAAGACTTGAGCCAGAATGAATTCAGAGAAAATACATGTCATTCATGTAGAAATAAGCATTTTCAAAACCATAATGCCTGTGAAATTAAAAATTGCATTAAATTACATTTTCTGTGACAGTGGCTTTCAAACCTATTTTAGGCAACAGTATATTTTCTTCTAATAAAATCTTCGGTTCATGCCCAATGCACAGCACAGATCTTCTCTAGCTGAGCATGTGCACATGTCTGGGTAGGGTCACCTGTGCATGTGTGAATGTGCAGATAGAAAATCCTGCCTAATGTCCAAACTCCACCCCTGTCAGAGACCTCCCGAGGCATCACCATGGAACCCCTGTACCCTATGTGAATCAGCTTGAAAACCACCGTGCTAGAAAAAGACAGCTACCCTTTTACACTTTACTGTCACAACCAAGACACCAAATTAATCACATGCCTATTTACCTGTGAGCTTTAAAACTTTTTCCATCAACATAAATATCAATATCTGGGCAACACTGTTTCACATAAAGCTTCAATAAATCTTCTCCTAATTCAGATGCAGGTTCCAAGTCATAAATATCTTTAAAAGAGAAAAACAAGACTAAAAAAATAGTTTCTTTAATACTATATATATTCCAAAATTTTGTATTCTAATACTAGCAAAATGTTTTTCCACAGTTATCTCAATTAGCTACTGAAAGAGAGTAACAGTGACTGAAACATTTAAGTGGTAAATTCAAAGTAAAATGAAACTTTTAAATCATCTATCCTTTCTGCTCTGAAATATATATTTCTATTTCTATTTAAATATAGATATACCTTTAAATATAGATACACATTTAAACATAGGTAATATTGTTACAAAATTATACACCAAAACTGAAGCCACTTCATGAACAGCTGACTTAGAAAGTTAGAAAATTTTCCAATTTTGATATTCTTTTTCACCACTTAATTTTTTCCTGTTCCTGTTCATGGATTTATGGCTAGGATAATCTGTGAACTAATAGAGTTTCAACTAAAATCAATGGGATTTATAGGACACTTACTAGGAGTTTAGTACTGTACATAGTATGGAGAGGTATAGAAAATAAATACTTTAAGAACTATCTCTACTTCAAAAGATTCACTTTAGGCAGTGGGAAGTGAAATATAAAACGTACATATATATAAAAAAAGAAAAATACTAAATTGTATACTATAGCTTTGTCAGTTCAGAAATTTTTATTAGTACACCTGGTAAGGATGGATCACCAGGAACATATTCCCACTAACCAATTTACAAATGTATACATTTATAAACCAGAATGCCAATACTGACTCTACTATCAAAAGAAATCCAGAATCCAACCACTACTCAATATCTCCACTGCTACAACTGTAAACAGATAAGTTACGGGGTCCCCGGAGAAAGAGAACCATGAATGGCTTTCTTGACATAACAGAACCCATTTTGGCCTAAACCATTTTGTGATCTAGGCCTAGCTGCAATGCTTGCCCTTGAACAGGTCTCGGTAATTAATGATCTTAAGGGAGGGGATGCAGAGACAAGGGCCGAGCAGCCAAGAAACAATGGTGCAGCCCTGGAGCAGGAACAATATCTTTTGAGCTCCTTATAGAACTAAAACTCCCAATAAATGGAAGATGAAGCAATCCTCACTCCAGAGAGAAGGTCACGGTTTGATAGCCTCGAGAACCAGAGAAGCTTATATGGAGACCACCTGAAGCCAGATTAGAGTGCAGGCCCTGCACACACCCTAATCTTATGAGCAACCTCACCCTTGAACCCTTTCTATAAAACTCTCATCAAATCTTCCCAGGTTGGGACACACAGTTTTTGAGGGGCAGGAGCCCGCTGTGGCCCCCTCTGCCTGGCAAAGCAATAAAGCTATTCTTTTCTACTTCACCCAAAACTCTGTCTGCAAGATTTGATTCGGCACCGGTGCACAGAGGCCAAGTTTTCGGCATCACCATCCCAGTTCAAAACAATATGGTTCTCTCCATTTTTTATAGAGTAAAAGCCAAAGTCTTACAGTAGCTTATCAAACCCCACGTCTGGCTCCTCACTACCTCTCTAATCTCATTGTCTACTCTTTTGCTTATTTCCATACTGAACTCTCTCTCATTCCTCCAAATGGCAAGTTATGTTCTCATGTTAGGATATTTCTACTGCCATTTCTTTTGCCTTGAACACTCATCTCCCAGATATCCACTTGGCTAACTTCCTTACTGGATTCAAATCTTTGTTTAAACATCACCTTTTAATCAAGGCTGACTCTGACCACCCATTTAAAATTGCAACTCCCATCACTAGCACTCCCAATCCCCCTTCCTCTGTCCTGTTTTTTCTATAGCATGTCACCTTCTAACTTCTTTACTACATTATTGTCTATCTCCACCCCCACCGTACCTTCTCTAACTGGAATCTAAGCTCCAAAAGAGCTGGAAGTCCACTTTAGTCATTGAAGTATCCCTTAGACCTAGAATAGTCCTAACACACAGGTCCTCAATAAATATTTGTTGAATAAATTAATGTATCAAATACTACATAAAAAGATTTTTGAAGAAAAAACATAAAACTCCAACCAGAATAAAGCAGGGGAAGGAGGCAAATCCTACCACTTCCAAATATTCCTACAGAAGACTTAAAGCACATAAATTAGTGGGAGATGTTGAAGGAATAGTCTTCATTTCGATGATTTAAAGATCAGAGTATAATTTTTGACACAAAGGGAAAATCTAGAAACTTTTCAAAAGAAAACCAAGTTAATTTGATAGATGATTACCTATCTCAACTCCCAATTATGTACTCAAATAGCCTCCTGGGGCTTCCCTGGTGGCGCAGTGGTTGAGAGCCCGCCTGCCCATGCAGGGGACACAGGTTCATGCCCCGGTCCGGGAAGATCTCACATGCCGCGGAGCGGCTGGGCCCGTGAGCCATGGCCGCTGAGCCTGCGCATCTGGAGCCTGTGCTCCGCAACGGGAGAGGCCACAACAGTGAGAGGCCCGTGTAACGCGCAAAAAAAAAAAAAAAAAAAAAATAGCCTCCTCAACTTGATACATCACAGTGGGGTATAATAAAAATATATATTTGGTCTTTCTCCCCCATTCCTGGCACAGAGCTTAAAACTCTTGAAATTTCCTAAATTATAGGAATGCCTTACTTGAGTTTATGCTAATGAGGTGATTCAGGGTAGGTTTCCTAAATAGCTTCAGGATGGGGGCTGGTCACCAGAAAGGACAAATATGTCATTAAAGAGTGGGAACTATCAGTGTTCCCCCCCATATCCAGGGAGGGAAAGGGGGCTATAGATTGAATTATAAAAATTCTTGAACAATAAGATTCAGGGAGCTACTGGGTTGGTGAACACACTGACTTATTGGAAATATAACAGGGAAGAACCAAATCTGACTACATATTGGATGTTGCTTTGACTTTAACCCTTGCTTCCCACTGCTTTTGTTCACTAAAAGGATACTGTCTATACATAATGGCCTGCCTCAGGGAATCCTGTCCCTCTGTCTGAATGTTAAACCAAAGTGCCTTTGTTCAGGGAAACATCCGGACCCTGTCCACCCTGTGGATGGCTGCAAGAAAGATGAAATTAACACATCCCCTCCCAGAGGCTGGCCATTCCAGGGGATATTTGCAAAACTTCTGGCCTTTTTACTTTACTTCCTCATCTCCTCCCCCTCTCTGTGCTATAAAAGAAACTGGCATCCAAACCCCCGATAAGATGGTTATTTTGAGACTTTAGTCTGCCATCTTCCCGTTCTGCCAGCTTTCCGAATAAAGTCATATTCCTTGCCTCAACACCTCGTCTCCGATTTATTGGTCTGTCATGTGGCGAGCCGAGCAAGCTTGGACTTGGTAACAGAAAGATGGCGCACCCTGAGGGGGCATGGAATTTGTTCTGTATACTGTCCTTGCCCACCCCACCCCACACCTCGCCCTATGCATCTTTTCCATTTGGCTGTTCCTAAATTATATCTTTTATGATAAACACGTAAACATAAGAGAAATGTGTTCCTGAGTTCTGTGAGTCATTCTAGCAAATTACTGAACCTTGGAGGAGGATGGTCATGGGAACTCCTGAATTTGTAGTCGATGGGCACAAGCCTGGGTAGTAAAAAGCACCAGAATATGTCACCCCAAAACATGCCACTTTGGCATGAGGATTATTTTGAGCTAAAGGTACTTGAGAAGGAGCAGATGCAGGAAAAGCTATTTACATCCCCCTAACTGCCTAAAAATAAAAGCACAAATTTTCCCTTTTGTAAAGGAAATTTCCATTTGTAAAGCTATCTCCTTACTATTCTCATCACTTGACTCTTATTTGCATAACAAGACAATCCTTATTCACCATACATTTTTTCTCCCCTCACTTTCCCATAACTTGCCTCCACCACCTAGTAGCCCAAAAGTCCTTTCTTTCGTTTAGCCTAAGATGATAATATATAAGACTCAATCATCCGGCCATTCTTGAATCTCCTTTCTTTGTGAGACTCCTGGTACAAAAGAAAGTAATGAAAACCATTTTTCCCCCTTCTGTTAATCTGTCTTATTTCAGTTTAATTCGTAGGCCAGTCACAGAACCTAAGAGGGTAGAAGGAACTCTTTTCTCCCCTACAGTAGCCTAAGCACTCCACTTGTGTTGAAGTGGGGGCAATATTGTAGGACTAAGTCCTTAACCTGTGGGGTCTGTGCTAACTCTGGATAGTTAACTGTCAGAATTGAACTGTTGGATGCCCATTTGGTGCTAGGAGAATTGGTTGGTGTGTGGAAAAAACCACACACATTTGGTGTCAGAAGTGGTACCCAGAAAAACAAAAACAAAAACACAATCACAGAAACCCAAATCTGTTCCACAACCTGAAGTCATCATTCCACTCTACCTTAAATTTGCTCTGTTCATACTCCTTAAGCCTGCAAAATAGTACCACCTAAACTCCTTAAAATAGCTTGAGTAAGGTGACCACATTTTTGGTTTGCCTGGGACAGTCCAGTTAATGCCTCTTGCCCCAGAATAATTATCAACAGCAAGAATAATTTCTTATCTTTCACTCTCTCAAAAGAATCCTAGTTTGGACCATAGACTATAAAGTCATCCTTTATAGAAGGCTTTCATTATCTGGCTTTTGCTTATATATCCAGGTTCATCTCTTACTTTGACCATTCCTGTCCCCTACTCTACCCTACACCCACAACAAACCATTTCTGGTTTTCCAAATTTGCTATGTGCCTGGTTCTCTTTGCCTCCAGGCATGTTGTTTCCTTTGCCTGGAACACTTCTCCCCTAAACTCTTTATGACTGGTTAACTTCTGCTTTTTCCTTCAGGATTCAATTCAGATATCACTCCCTCCATGTAGCTTTCTCTGAAGGCCTTAGCCTAGGTTACATGTGCCCTATCTGTGTCCTTATCACACTTGGTACATAACTTACCTGACTGTACCTCCTACTAAACTGAAAAATAGGAACACTATCTGTTTTGTTCACTATCAAATCTTCAAAACTAGCACAAAGTTGATACTCAATGTAATGATTAGAATAGCATCTCAGGAATAAACAGCAAGTGCAAAAGAACAGAAGTGGCAAAATATACTTCCTTAGGAGGAAATGCCAAGTAAGTCAGTAAGAATAGAGCTCAGGGGGTATGAGGGGTTGTGAAGACAGGAGGCAGCAGCGTTCTAGGCAGGAGTCAGTTCCCAACATCCCCTTGCACCACGGGAAAGAAGCTGGGATTTATATTAAGGCTGTGTGAGACTACTGCAGGATTTTAATAAGGGAAGTGCCATGACCACACTTGCAATTGATGGACGTTGTTCTGTACAATAGAGATGGAGGGTGGCACAACAAGAGGCCTGGTGACCAGCTGGGGTTCAAATTCTCAAGGAAAATAGCAAATTCCTGAAATAAATAAATCGCAGGAGGATAAAGAAGAGAAGTATTTAAGAATATTTAGGAGACAAATCAATAGACATGATCATGAATCGAATGAAGGGTAAAAGAGTAACTGAGGAGAAAGATGGTAATATAATTCACACTGATACAGTATTTAAGAAAAGAGCAGGTTGAGAAAGTGGATGATTAGGTCAGTTTGACACAAGTTAAATTTTGAGATATTTAAGGTATATTTAGACAGATATGTCTAGTCAGTGGTTAGATACGAAGCTAAAAAAAAAAAAAAAAAAAAAATTGGAGAATACCAATTATTTAAGGGGCAGAAGGAGGAAGTTCCAGTGAAGGAGACTGAGGAGTGACCAAGAGGGAAGGAAAGGAAGAAGCCCCATTATGCCCAAATTGTTCTCTAATATGTCAATTGTGTTGGATCAAACTCATGTTTTGAAAACAAGTGTTATAGTAGAATTGGATGTATTTGAAAGTATCTGTTAACTAAAGAGTTTTATTACTGGTCTTTAGTGCAAAAAGAGTAAAAACAAACTGATTTAAGCTTAGTTAGATTTCTTTTATATATGTTCACCGTATCTCATTATGGTGAATGAATGAATACATGCATGCATGCCTGTTCTAGGCTTGAGGTAGATCTATTCATAGTTTTTAATTACCTCATTTAGTCTCAGTCCTAAGAAGTAAGTGGTTACAGACTGATTTTATAGATGAGGACTCTAAGACTCAGAGAGTATAAGGGACTTTCCCAAGGCCACATAGTTAGAATAGTTGGCACAGCTGGTATCTGATACCCATTTTTCCTGCCTATAGTCTAGAGCTCTGCATGGTCCCACAGCAGCCTATTAAAGCGGCCAAACAAGTTTTGAGTATAAGTGAATAGAGCTCATTTACCCCCCAACCCCTTGCCTTCATCTACTTTCTCCATCACTCCATGGAAAACTCCGTGTTGACTGGTTTACCAGACACTTACTTGTCCACATCTTACACTTGCTTGTCCACATCTTATTAACTCCTTTGCAGTATTGCATACTGTCAATGCCACCCTCCTTGAAACTTCCTTTTTCTCTGACACTATGCTCTTGATTTTTCCCTCTTAGGTACAAGCTAATCCATGAGAAACACTAGGTCAATGCAAAGAACTGCACCAAGCTGAACTCAGCCCTGTAAGAATACACAAAACATACACAAACACCTAAAACATATACCAGAACCTCAGTTCACCCACACCTACCCATTTCTGGAGTTACAAACTTCTATCTGATTTCAGATAGCAACTTCTGGGAGACCATTTTCTATGAATATTTTTGTGCTTCTGTATGGTCTGGCCTTTCTGAGCAGAGCACTGGCAAATTTGGATAAAGGATGGTTAAACAACAAACATGTCTTAGAAGTCAGAGATAATGTGATGCTCCAGAAAGATTCAGACTATCCTCCCCTCAAAACCATTTCCTTACACTCTAGGGTACTGAAGCTACCTTATCCTAACCAGAGAAGATTTATTTACCTTCCAAAGTAAAGGTGTCTCTCTCTCTGCAGAGGAGGATGGGCAGATCTGCCAGCAGCCTATAAAAGTCTCATAATGTTGGTGTTCCCCTCCTATGGTGCAATCCCACTGCACGTGCAGGACAGGTAACATCAGGCCCTCACCACATAGCCCCGTGGGGACTGAGGGTTGGGAAGTGGTGCTGAGATGCTCTGTAAGTAACAAACAGTCTGTTCTCTGATCCAGGGGTCTCAAGTTTCCTGTTAGAATATCTACTATATATATATCTGTATCCTTAACATCCTCCTTCCACCAATTCACAATAATTCACAAGCTGCAACCCTTCTGACACCCACTTATACAAACAAACTAGAGGTGTTTTTCAAGGTCAAATGCCACATTTATTGTAGTACTTACGCATTTCTGAACCATTTAACATGGGTAAAACTATGCTAACCATTTTTATTAGGTTCCTGTCTTTTAAAAATGTGTCACGACAAAAGTTTCAGTGATTCTGTGTCATGACAAAATGTATTTTTGGTGATTTTTGTGTTGCATGGTGTTTTTTAAGGAACGCATATATTGTGTTATAACAGAATTGATTCTATAGTCTGCTAAAGCTTTTATTGGTGGAGATTAGAATAAGGATGACAATATATGGAGGCTTAAAAGGAGAATTATGAATTATGTGTGTATTTTTTAATAATAACCCCATCTCTAATTACTTAGGAAAACTGGGGGTTGACCATATTATTATTTCCATTTACCCATAAATTATTTACTTTCATTTATTTTTATTATGTTGACTTTGATTTACTTTTCATTTACTTATAAAAAGTGATCAGTAGAGCTGACTTTTGAAGTATATTTTTCTCTAATTGTATCAGAATGTAATTGCTTTCATGGCTATAAAATTTTATAAAAATCCACAAAAAATACCTCACCAGTGGAAATTAAATTGTCCTCTTTGTTGTTATCTTCTGGAATTTCATGCTTCACAAAAGAATGATTAGATGACCTTTTACCTACAGATGACCTTCCATCATTCTCAGTACACTTTCCAACACTGAAGTCACATTTCTTTTGTGGTACTCCACTCTCCACTATCTTTTTCCTGAGAATTTCCTCTTCATAGTTTTTTATGTTTCTGTTTGACGAGTATACAATCCTAAAAGACAAAATGTAAAATATTAATAAAAATAATGTCAGTGATTCTTAAAAGCTAGTTTTCCAGCATGCTGCTTTCATAGATAATGGCTATATAGTTTTAAAACCTTTCTAATCTGGACTAACTAGAGGAAAGATCAATCTAAAATAACAGAAAGTTTGAAAAGTAGTCTATAAAAAATTTTAATGTTAAAAAGGAATATATAATGCCAACAAATTATATAACCTAAATGAAATGGACAATTCCTAGGAAGGGTACACACTAACCAAACTTGATTTAAGAAGAAACAGAGTATCTGAATAGACAAATAACAAGTAAAGAGATTGAATTAGTAATCAGAAACTTCTCACAAAGAAAAACGCAGGACCGGGTGGCTTCACTGCTGAACTCTACCAAATGTTTAAAGAAGAATTAATGCCAATCCTTCACAAACTTTTCCAAAAAATATAAGACGGAACACTTCCCAATTCATTATGTGAAGCCAGTATTATCCCGACACAAAAGCAGACAAAGACATCACAAGAAAACTACAGACCAATATTCCTTAATAATATAGAGATAAAATCTTCAACAAAATCATAGCAAAGTGAATCCAGCAACATATAAAAAGAATTATACATCATGACCAACTGGGCTTTATTTCAGAAATTCAAGGGCAGTTAAACAGATGAAAATCAATATTATATACCATATGCTATAGCCTGAATGTTTGTGTCCCCTAAAATCGTATGTTGAAAGCTAATTCCCAATGTGATGATATTAGCAGGTGGGGCCTTCGGGAGATGATTAGGTGGAATCCTCATGAATGGGATTAGTGCCCTTATTAAAAGCAGCTCCAAAGAGATCCCTCGCCTTCTTCCACCATGTGAGGGAACAATGAGAAGTCAGCAGTCTGCAACCTAAAATAGGGCCTTCACCAGAACCCTACCATGCTGGCACTCTGATCTTGGATTTCCAGCATCCAGAACTATGAGAAATAGATTTCTGTGGTTTATAAGGCCACCCAGTCTGCAGTGTCTTGTTATAGCAGCCCAAATGGACTAAGACACCATATCAATAGGACAAAAACTACATGATCATCTTAGTTGATGCAAAAAAAAAAGCATTTGAGAAAATTCAACACCCTGTCATAATAAAACAGTCAGCAAACCAACAATAGAGTAGAGGGAAACATCCTCAACCTGATAAAGGAGATCTATGAAAAACTCACAGCTAACATCAGACTTAACGGTAAAAGACTGAAAGCTTTCTTCCTAAGATCAGTAAGGATGTCTGTCTGCTCTTACCACTTCTATTCAACATTTGACTGGAGATTCTAGCCAGGGCAATTAAGCAAGAAAAAGAAATAAGCTGGATTGGAAAGGAATAAGTAAAGCTATCTTCATTTACAAATGGCAAACATGTGTATAGAAAATCCTTGGAAATTCACCCAAAAACTATTTGTTAAACAAGTTCTGCAAGGTTGCAAAGTACAGGATCCATATGCAAAAATCACTAGCAATGAACAATCCAAAATGAAATTAGAAAATAATTCAATTTACAACAGCAACAGGAAAATAAAATACTTAGGAATGTATTTCACAAAAAGTGCAAGACATATCCTGAAAGCTACAAAACAATGCTGAAAGCAATTAAATAAATGGAAACACATTCCAGATGATTTAATATTGTAAAAATGGCAATACTCTCTGAATTAATCTGCAGATTCAGTACAACACCTATCAAAATTCAGCTGGTTTTCTGCAGAAATTGACAAGCCAACCCTCAAAGTCAAATAGAAATGCCAGAATAGCCAAAACAATCTTTACGCAGAACCAAGTTGGAAGATTCACACTTTCTGAATTCTAAGCTTCCTACAAAGCTATAGCCATCAATACTGTGTGGTACTGGTATAAGGATAGACATATAGATCAGTGGAATAGAACTGAGTGTCTAGAATATAGATTTATAGGCAAGTGATTTTCAACAGGGGTGTTGTGATATTGTGATTTATAATATGAACTATATATTTGGTCTTTGTCCACTATTCCCAGCATGTAGCTTCTAAAACCCTTCTAATTTCCTATGTAAAAGCCACAGAACATCTTTTATTATAGTACTTAAGTTTTGTTCCCAGGTCCTGAAATAGCTCCAGAAGAATAAAGGTGAAATGAATGTCTTTTGTTATTCATAGCAAGCCCCTTTCAACCACACCAGAGTTTACATTAGTGAAGTTGGTGACTTTTAGAAAGCTCCTAAAAATGGGGGCTGGTTGCCTGGAGAACCAACCAAGTGCTTTGAAGGTTGGAACTTTCAGCTCTCCCCTCCACCTCTGAAGAGGGGAAAGGTTGAATTAATCACCAACAGTCAATGATTTAAACAATCATGCCTATGTAATGAAGCCTGCATGAAAACCCTAAAGGATGGGTTTCAGTGAGCCTCTGGGTTGGTGGACACCTGGAGGTGCTGGGAGAGTAGTGAACCCAGAGAGGGCTTGGAAGCTCCTTCCCACATCCCTTGCCCTATGCATCACTTCTATCTGGCTGTTCCTGAATTTTTTCCTTTTATAATAAACCAGTAATATGGTAAGTAAAATGTTTTTCTAAGTCCTGTGAGCTGCTCTAACAGATTAATTGAACCTGAGGAAGGGGTCATAGGAATCTACATTTATAGCCAGTTGATCAGAAGCACAGGTAACAACCTGAGGCACAGGTAACCTCCAGGTAAATAGTGTCAGAACTGAGTTAAACATGTAGGACACCCAGCTGGCATCTGGAGAACCTCAGAATTGCTTGGTGTGGGGAAAAACTCTTGCAAATTTGGTGACCACAAGTGTCAGAAGTAAAGTACTCAATGAGCAGAGTATTAAGAGTAAAGGAGACACAGGAGGGTGTTTTTCCTTTACAGGTATTCAGACAATCCAATGGGAAAAGAAAAGTCTCTTCAAAAAACAGTGCTGGGGGGTGCTTCTCTGGTGGCGCAGTGGTTGAGAGTCCGCCTGCCGATGTGGGGGACATGGGTTCGTGCCTTGGTCCAGGGAGGATCCCACGTGCCGCGGAGCGGCTGAGCCCGTGAGCCATGGCCGCTGGGCCTGCACGTCCGGAGCCTATGCTCCGCAACAGGAGAGGCCACAGCAGTGAGAGGCCCGCGTACCGCAAAAAACAAAACAACAAAAACAAAACAAAACAGTGCTGGGCCTCTCACCTTCTGAGACGGCTCACACTCTGTCTGTGGAGTGTTCCTCCCAGGGCCACTCTCGTCTTTTGAGACAGACCACATTGTGTATATGGAATGTATCTGTGTATCTCTCTAAATAAATCCACTTCTTACCTATCCAAAAAAAAAAAAAAAAATGGTACTGGGACAACTAGATATCCAAATGTGAAAGAACAATGCTGGATCCTAGCCTCACACTATATACAAAAATTAACTCAAAATAGGACAAAGCTCTAAATGTAAGAACTAAAGAGGTAGACACGGGATAAGTAATTGTGACCTTGGATTAGGCAATGGTTTCTTAGATATGACACTAAAAGCACAAGTTATAGAAGAAAAAAATAAAATGGAAGTCATAGAGATTAAAAACTTTTGTGCTTTCAAGGATACCATCAAGAAAGTTAAAAGACAACCCACAAAATGGGAGAAATGTTTGCAAATCATATATCTGATAAGAGACTCGTATCTAGAATATATAAAGAATTTCTAGGGGCTTCCCTGGTGGCGCAGTGGTTGAGAATCTGCCTGCCAATGCAGGGGACACGGGTTCGAGCCCTGGTTTGGAAAGATCCCACATGCCGCGGAGCGACTAAGTCCATGAGCCACAACTACTGAGCCTGCGCGTCTGTAGCCTGTGCTCCGCAACAAGAGAGCCCGCGACAGTGAGAAGCCCACGCACCGCGATGAAGAGTTGCCCCCGCTCACTGCAACTAGAGAAAGCCCTCGCACAGAAATGAAGACCCAACACACCCAAAAGTAAATAAATACATTTATTAAAAAAAAAAAAAAGAATTTACAAAACTCAATAGTGTAAAGACAAATAACCCTATTTCAAAATGGGCAAAGAACGCGAACAGATAGTTCTCCAAAGAAGATATACAAACAACCAATATGCACAGGAAAAGATATTCGACATCACTGTCCATCAGAAGAATGCAAATCAAAACCACAATGAGTTACTGCTTCACACCCACTAGGGTACCTATAATCAAAAAGACATAATAACAAGTGTTGTCAAGAACACAGAGAAACTGGAATCCTCATACATGCTGGTAGGAATGTAAAATGGTATAGCCAGTTTGGAAGAGTCTGGCAGTTCCTCAAAACGTTTAACATATGACCCAGCAATTCGACTCCTAGGTACATAACACAAGAGAATTGAAAGCATATGTTCACACAAAAACTTGTACATGAATGTTTGTAGTAGAATTATTTATAACTGCCAGAAAGTCAGAACAACTGAAATGTATATCAACTGATGAATGCATAAACACAATTTATATCCATATGTACAGAAGAGTTAACACAGGTGGGACTGCTATCTTTTGAAAGACTTGATTGTAAGAGTTGTCCTTGGCTGGTATCTGGGAACATTATTTCAACAGTGTTCCTAGCATTCTCTAAATGACAAGGGTGGCTCAGCTGTTGTTAGCTTGTGCATTGTTTATACAAATAATATGGTTTAAGCTGAACACGTGCTTTCCTTCTAGGAGTCTGGAATATGGGTACACATCAGGCAGGAGACCAACTCCCAGTAAAAACTCTGGGCATTGAACCTGTAATGAGCCCCCCTGATTGGCAACATTACAGAGTTGCTGTCATAACTCATTGTAGGAAAATTAAACATGGCCTGTGTGGCTCCACTGGGAGAGGACCCTTGGAAGCTTGTGTCTTGTTTCCCGTGGATTTCACCCCATGTACCTTTTCCCTTTGTTTCCTTTGTAATAAATCAGAGGCTAGAGTATAACTATATGCCGAGTCTTATGAGTCCTCCTAGTGAATCATCAAACCTGGGAATGGTCTTGGCAACCCTTGATCCATCACACAATGAAATATTCAGCTATAAAAAGGAATGAACTATTGATAAACAACACAACATGGATGAACCTTGAAAACATCACACCCAGTTTAAAAGCCCACACATAAAAGGCCATATACTATAAAAATCCATTTACATGAAATGCCCAGAATAGGCAAAACCATAATGACAGAAAGTAGATTATTGGTTGCCAGGAAGTGGGGGGAGGAGAGAGTGGAAAGTGACTGCTAATGGGTATGGCAATTGCAAGTACCAAGAATTAAGTTATTAGAGAAACTGACAATAGTCAATTTCTTTGAGGAATGAAGAGGACTGACCTGGAGGGGTCTATGGATGGCTGACCAGTGGTACAGATTGGTAAGATGAGATTCAAAGATAGGGGGGTTAGGAAGAAGGGAGGGAGAAAGGTCTAGAGGCAGTAATGAAGTTCACAAGTGTTTTAAAATGTACCTGGGGGGAGTTCCCTGGTGGCCTACTGGTTAGGATTCTGGGCTTTCACTGCTGTGGCCTAGGTTCAATCCCTGGTTGGGGTACTAAGATCCTGCAAGCCACGTGGCAACAAAAAAAAAGTTACCTGGGAATTTAGGTTTATTCAGGTATGGTGAGGCCAACTGATCAGGAGATGATTACCAGTGAATAGATAGTTTACAACTTACAGTTCACAAGAGGAATGGGGAATACCATGCCAGGTAGGGCCACATGGGGAAGCAACAGGGTCTATTTAGAGACAAAACTGTGCTTTGTCCTAAAGCATAGGCAAAAGTGGTTTTTGTGGGAAGGAATGGGTGAGGCAAGGTAAGCAGCTGAGCAAGTTTAGGATTAAATAGTTTAAGTAATTTGGGGGAGAGGGGGCTCTGGGCTATAAGGGTGGTCTTTAGTTGTCTGGTACCTGGCTCTGGGATGATTAGGGAAGGAGAGTGTTGCCTTCTAGAGTATAAGAAACAGACAGAAGAGGTGGGTGTAGGAATGGATTCAGGATTACTTGGTTTGCATATCAAAGTCATGCTCAGGGAATTAGCTAACTCTGGAAGGGGCAGTCTCTCCCCAGTTAGTGAGGCCCCAGATGCCAAGTTATATATACATATAGTTAATATTACAAGACACCTATTCCACCCACTTCAGCCCTACTAGTGTAAGGGATGTGGGAGAGAAAATAGCCACCACCTGAGAAAGCTGTAGGGGAAATGGAATCTTTTATACTGTGCTGCTGTTCTATGTGTTTACTTGATTGACATTTTATACTAGCATTTCCCAGTTATTGATGTTAAACTGAAAATTTAAAGGTCTTCCCTTTTCTCTTTCCTTTACACACACATGTGCACACACACACACAAACACGCACACACAACTATAATGTGGTAAGTCTTAGGAAATCAAAGATTTTTATTGAATTTTAATCATGAGGTCATAAAGCAGGAACTACTTTCCAGTGCCAATCATTTGAGCCATATCTGAAGACATGGTACATAAAAAATTTCTTCGAAGACTGTACTTACTATGCTAACTTAAATGCATAGCAAAGGACCCTACACTAAGTAGCAATATTGCAGAATACTTCAGAATCGTTATTGGTTATTTAAAGAGAAGGATGTGTGTTAAAGATACTTTTAAGGACTGCATTTCATACAATAAAAATTTTAAAATCTATGTTATCAGAATTTTTACTAAAAAATGTTATCTCAATACTCCACATTATAATCCTCTCCTTATGCTTTATATTAACACAGAGAAATTTCAATACAATCTGCCTTTTAAAAAAGGGGGAGGTATATCACAAGCACTTTCTATACACAAGACACTGATGAGACACCACTGGGAATGCTCACATCGATGAGATGATCTAATCTCAAGGAGCTTACATAACCACAGACATACTTCACTAACCTAACACAAAACAGAATGTGATTAAGTGCTTAAAACAGAGGATTGTGAAATGCTAGGAAGCACAAAGCCATTTACTCCAACGTCCTTGTTCTAAATATGAGAAAATTAAGGCTCAAAGAATTCATAAAACAAGGTAATGCACAGCCACAGGGCATATCTCTGTCTTGCTGCCAAGTCCAGTGCTTCCTCCACTCTACCATACTGTCTCTCATTCAATCTTTTTTTCTAACAAACACTTTTAAAGACAACAAATAAAGGATAACATTAATGTAACTTCTCTTTTTCTAATATATAAAAATTTGACTTTTCCCAAGTATCTTTTTTTAAACATACACTCAATAGCTGGAGAAAAGTATAATATCAAAGGGCTACTACTATGAATAATACTTATAATGTATTCAGTGCTTACTATATCTCAGGTCACTGAGCTAAGTGCTTCACAAGCATCTAATTTAACCCTCACAACAACGCTATGAAGTAGGTATTATGCCCATTTTTCAGGTGAGGAAACTAATGTAAGTGATCAGTCCAAGTTCACTCAGTTAGAAATGGTAGACCGGGCTTGACCACAGAGCCTACTCTACAACAAAGCCACTATACCACCTACTAGAAAAAAACAAAAGTGTATATTTTAAAATTGATGGTTGGAACTCAGTGATGAACCTATTATGATCTACACTAGAAAATGATAATGATTTTCTAAATTGCACTTAAAATATTTGTTTAAATTATAGTATGTCATACTGTTCTTACAAACAGAGGAAGCCAAGGTTACCCATTTTTCTGTTTATGCTTATTGGAGCTTCATATAAGAAACTCTGAAATAATAAAAACAGATCATTCAAGCAACTGTCAGAGCATAAATTGAAGAAAAATACACCAAATCACACACATATACTTGAAGTTTAATTATCCAAAAAGAATTTTCAACATTAAAGTCAACATGATTTTGATTATAGGCAAAAAGTATGTCAGCAAATAACTAAAAGACTAGTATCTAAAAAATACCTAGGATTCAGGACATAAAAACACAAAAATCCAACTCTGATTTCTCATAAAAGTTAAAATGATAATTGGCACTGGCATTAAGAACAGACATACAGACCAATGGAAAAGAATTTAGAGACCGGAAATAAACCCTAATGTTTATGTGTGTATTAGTCAGCTTGGGCTGCCACAACAAAAATCATAGACTGGTGGCTTAAACAATAGAATTTTATTTCTTACAGTTCTGGAGGCTGGACGTCAAGATCAGATGCCACCATGGTGGGGTTCTGGTGAGAACTCTCTTCGTGGCTTGCAGTCAGTCACGTTCTCACTGTACCCTCACATGGCAGAGAAAGAGAGAGAACGAGCTCTCTGGTGTCTCTTCTTATAAGGGCACTATTCCTACCATGAGGTCCCATCTAAAGCTAATTTACTTCCCAAAGGCACAATCTCCAAATACCATCACATTAGGGAGTAGAGCTTCAACATACGAATTTTCAAGGGAAACAATTCAGTCCATAGCAATGGGCAACTGATTTTCGACAAGGCTGTACAGACAATCCAATGAAGAAGGAATAGTCTCTCCAAAAATAGTACTGGGACAACTAGATATTCACACACAAAAGAATAAAGTTGGTCCCCTTCCTTACATTATACAACAAAACTAACTCGAAATGGATCACAGACCTAAATGTAAGAGTTAAAAGCATAAACCCAAAAAATTCATAGAAGAAAGTATAAGAATAACTCTTTGTGACCCTAGAATAAGCAATGGTTTCTTATCTACAATAGCAGGAGTACAAGTGACAAAAGAAAATTAGATAAACTAGGCTACATTAAAAATCTAAAACTTTTGTGTTATAAATGACACCATCAAGAAAGTGAAGACAACCCACTGACTGGGAGAAAATGTTTGCAGATCATGTCTGATAAGAGCCTAATATCCAGAATACATAAAGATCTCCTATAACTCAATGATATAAAGACAAATAATCCAATTGAAAAATGGACAAAGGATGTGAATAGACAGTTCTCTAAAGCAGATATATTTCTCCTTTCTCACGATCTATCTCAAGCAGAAATTAGCCTCTCCTAATACTAAGCCTCAAAGACTCTAATACTGGGGCTTCCCTGGTGGTGCAGTAGTTGAGAGTCTGCCTGCCGATGCAGGGGACACGGGTTCGTGCCCCGGTCCGGGAAGATCCCACATGCCGCAGAGCGGCTGGGCCCGTGAGCCATGGCCGCTGAGCCTGCGCGTCCGGAGCTTGTGCTCCGCAATGGGAGAGGCCACAGCAGTGAGAGGCCCGCGTACTGCAAAAAAAAAAAAAAAAAAAGACTCTAATACTAATACTTAGCCTCTACTAACACTAATTACTAAGATAATATAGAGTTTAAGTTAGAAGGTTATAAAATAGATATGAAAATACATGAAATAAAAACACACATATGTTTAAAAAATAAGCAATTACATACTAGATTTAAATATAAGAGAAAAAAAGATGAAGAAAGCACTTACTGTAAAAATATTCTAAATTCTGAAGCTTCAAAGTTCTCCACAGCAACAGGTTCATGATTTGTTAAGTTATTTGTATGTCCAACAGTATGAAAATAGAAATCAGGAATCCTTGCTAAAAGGACTGCTTTGTGTGCTTTGAACAAAGTACAACCTATTGAGAAAGTAACATCTGTATGGACTTCTTCTCTTAGAAGCCTATAAGGAATAAAAAGGAACCACAGTTTAATTAGTTAATTAATTAAACTAATTAATATACAGTTAATATATAATATGCCCATTTTTATAAAATAAGCTTTAAAAATAACACATAGGGCTTCCTTGGTGGCGCAGTGGTTGAGAGTCCGCCGGCCGATGCAGGGGACACGGGTTTGTGCCCCGGTCCGGGAAGATCCCACATGCCGCGGAGCGGCTGGGCCCGTGAGCCATGGCCGCTGAGCCTGTGCGTCCCGAGCCTGTGCTCCGCAACGGGAGAGGCCACAACATTGAGAGGCCCGCGTACCGAAAAAAAAAAAACAACACACACACATAAACTAAAAATACAGAGATAACAAAATAAAGTTAGTATGAAAATGAGTTTATTCTCAGTTCATCCAAAGAACATTGTCTAACATTGGTTTAGAAGGCAATTTTCTAAAATTTATAATGAGAACAAAGGTAATTACACTGAGTAAGACTATTTTTTCAAAAAATATCTTTTCCTTTTAATTCCTTCTACCAAAATTTATCTTCTGCTACTTATGTTGATTTTCCTTTATAATGTATGTACTTTAGATTTATTTTGGAAAGAGAACACAAAGTAATGTGATTATTGACTATTGAATCAATTTTTAAAAATCTTACTAAAACTGAAGCAAAAAAAGTAAACAGTCAACACCACCAGCAAACCACACGCAATAATAGACAATCCAGTCTATTGGTACCAGTTTCAATCCAGAAACTGGTACACTGCACTTTGACTATTGTTAAATACCAAGTCTGAAATGCAGGCTTGGCTATCAAGAATGTGACATTTAAGCCCTTTTCCATTGCCCACCCCACAAAAAATAGAACTATGCTCTAATCTATTATTAAAACGATGGACTCGAGGAAAGCCCATTCAAATCCCTTTACTAATGTGCAGACATAGTTATGGTAAAGCTCACATGTAAAGTGATAGAAGAACAGAAATCAGCATCATAATAGAACCTGTCACAATGTTTTTTCTGTGTGGTAACTATATATTTCTGCTCTGTAAATATTAAATAATACTTCGTATAGTATAACATTATCATCAGCAAGTTATGTATTCTCAGAGGACTTCTGTATTGCAGGATATAACTGGCAATCACACTAGTACACTACAGGAGGTCCAAGTATGGATAAAGATATCCATTACAGTGAAAGCTTAGAATGTTGCCACTGACACTCACTCCCCCAAGACACAGTTAATGGCTCCTTCCTCTGATCCCTCCATACATACCTCTATCACAGCACTTCTGTCACTGTATCACTATTATTTTTATAATAATAAAATTATATTAATATAACTAAAATATATTCTATTCAGACAATGAACTCTCCAAAGGCAAAAACTGTACCTTCATTAGACAGCAAGAGCTCAATATCTGTTTTTTTGGATTTGGCTGTATTTTACCCTAAACAAAACAAATGCTTCAGAGCACAAAGCTTTCAGAACCTTGGAAACAATGAGCAAATAGATGCATTTTAGTCAATATTTTAATCAATAAATTATTTTCATAAGCGATTGTTAAAGTTACGCAAGAATGTATTGGTCTCCCAAACATTAATAAAAACTCAAATTGTACAATACAAATACACCATTTATTCCTCCTTCCCACCCACCTTCTACCCATCCCCCACTTCTCCCCAAGTGAATAAACAAGCATTGCAGCTGGTAGCCATACAACTGTCAGTAGGGAATCTGCCTTGTTCATAATAGATGCTCATGAGTATTCGTCAAATTAAAAAAAAGTTAATGTTTTAAAAAATGTTAATGTGAAAATACAGTGCTTTTTATTTTATAAAACTACCTGTATCAGTTATAAGCATATCTTGTTATCTGTTACAAGTAACAATATCTGACTCGGACCTGCTTAAACATTAAGGAGGGTTTTACTGGCTCATCTCATAATAAACTCTAGAGGAAGGATAGGCTGGAGCAAAGGCTCAGTGGTGTCAAGGCCCAGCTTCTTTCCATCTTATTTCTCTGTCACCTACTGTATTCACCTATCTAAAGCATTTTAGACTGCTGATTAAACCCAATTCTCACTAAAAATTTACTGAGCGTGTACCATGTATGAAGCACTGGGGACATAAAGGGGACTAAAGCACAGTATTTGCCCTCAAGGAGTTTGTAGGAGAGTATGGCTGGGTGAGTATATTTGATTTTTTAGTTGTTTAAAAAAAAAACACACAAAAACACTTTTGCTTGTAACAGGAACTTGGGACTTCAGGATCCTATCCTTTCATTGCTGCTAGGATGAGGATAAATTGTTCACCTACTATACTTATGACCTCATTTTCTTTATATAAATTAGATGTATTATCTTCTTTAAATTCATGACACTTCAAGGCTCACAATACAGCCAGAAGAATAGAGCCACTGAAGCGGAGTACCTCATCCTTAGAGATTCATCCTAGAAACAGGACAACTTCACTCTCATTTTTTTTTTAATGTTGTACATCAATTCCCCCAGTGGTGGAGACAAGGCAGAATCTCTCATAGGCCCAAATTAAAGGGAAATTTTTTTGCTTTATAAAGTTCAGTTTATAACTGGTGGAGCCTTAAGGGTGGACAACAGTAAGCACTTTTTAAATGTAGAATGCTGCACAACTGTTATTAATAGTAATTATGTTTACACTAGTTCAATAGTTCTCAAAGTGTGACCAAGGCCAGCAGCATCACCTGGGACCTTGCTAGAAATGCAAAAATCTCATGCCCCCTCCCAGACCAACTGTATCAGAATTAAGGTCTGGGTCTCAGTAAATCTAAGCTCTCCAGGTGATTCTGATGCACACTAAAGTTCAAGAATCAATGTTTTGGTGGAAATGGGAACTAGCTAGGGAGTATTTCTAAGCTTCATTTTCTTTATAAACTGAGATGATGTTCCTGGATTCATTATAGCCTGAGTTAAGCTTCACAACAACTCTCCATTTGCTAGAGTCCTCATGGGAACTGGGAATTGCTGGGAGTTGCTGTGGGCTGTAGAGTATTCTAGGAGGAGAGGGCAAGCCAGGTTGCGATCAGGAAGTATTTCTACAAAAGCATTTCTGCTAAATCGTTTAAAGAGCGCTCAGAAGAAAGAGACCTCCAACGCTCCAGTAATCTGATCCATTTTTACTCATTCTAAATAGATACTCAAAAAAAATTTTTTTAAATAAATATAAAAAATATATATATATACCTAATTGTATCATTTTTCTTAGAATTGTTTGAGCTTATAAAAAGTTGTGTAAGTTTCAGGACCACGAAACCTGTATCCACCCTATTAGCGAGTCTTTCAAGACTTAAGCCCACCCGTGTTAGAGTATTTTGGCATAAACTGGTGCTGCACAGAACTATGACGGTAATTTTGGTTTTCTTCTTGAATCTGGTACGTGGTCTCACAGGTGCTCTGGATTGGTTATAAGGGCGAAAGAGCCCGCTTTGTAGTGAGGAGACAAGTGAGCGTCCTGCAGTGGCCTGAGGTGAGGAGGACAAAGCAGGGAGGGATGGAGAAACCGAAGAGCCACAGTTTCTGGTACGGAGGTGGGCGCCTTAAGAACTGAAGCAGCCTGAGTTCCCGCCTCCTCCTACCTGAGCAGATCCTGGCTGAGCTGCTCCGACACCGTCGCCTTCAGCCGGCGCCGCTCACTGGGCCCCTTCCTTTGCAAGCCCTTACTGCAAACTCCAGGGGACTCCAGAAGTACCACGGGGGCCACGCTATCCTCCCCACGGCGGGCCATGTTCCACAAAGGTACGGCGGCGCCCCGCAGGCCGGGTACAGAGTCTCACTTCCCCGCCTCTGGAAGAAACGGACGTTTCATACCGAAAGCTCTGCTCCTACCCGAATCCGCCCCCTAAAGGAAAATGCTGACGCCTCTCGTCTGTTTGTTGACGGTCCCTTATGGCTGCCGAACCTCGGTCCCGGAGAATCTCGGAGACCCGGCCAGCGCCGGCACGTGACCCGGGAGGATGTGCGCAGGCGTAGTAGCTCTGTTTTAACTCCGCCAGCAGGCGCTCCGCGCAGCACTGCCGAGGGAGCCAACTGTTCTGCGGAGCTAACCAGGTGTTCGCTGCTAACCAGGTCTGCGCTTTATCCCTGTCCCTCTGCTTTCCAGTTGATGCTAACCAGTCATTTAAATAAATGTTTTATCGAGAACTGAGTTCAAATCAACCAGTGCAGCCTTTCAGCACTTTGTCTTCCTGGGGTGTCAGCGCTTTTTTTCCCAGGAAAGACAAGTTCACTAGACCTTTACTGCGGCGAGTCACACTCCTTCACTTACTGCTTTGGGCAAGAAAAATTGGGGGTGTGAGGGGCGCGGGAAGAACTTCGTAAAATCAGCAGGAGTTACAACACTCCAGAGCCCCCTGCAAAGGGTATGGTATAATGTCTAGAAGACTCCTTCCTCTTCTAATCCAGGGAGTGGCTCATATAACTGCTCTTGGACTTAAGCAGGGAAATGTCAGTTATATTCCCCCACTTTGCATATAAAGTTATAAAAGTTATGAGGTGGAAGAAAGGAAGTAATGTTGTAGGGGTAGAGTCTTTAATTGAGCAAGGAATTGGGTGGATTGATGAGCTATAGAATTTTGAAAATTTGGTGTGGAGAAAAGAGCTGGAGCGAAATTACTTAAAAAGTCTTTTGTTTTTTTATTTGATTACTTCTTCCAAAGGAGGAAAATTCAATCCTTCTGCATCATTCAGAAGCTCTGCACAAGGTAACAAGTACATACTAATTACTTGGAAAATATATGGATATTGTACCAGAAGATTGGCCAAGTAGTAGCCATTTCTCCAAATAACGACCTTCTCAATTGTTCAGACACCTTAATTATGAATATACTGGATAATTGATTTTTAATCATTCCTGTAGAAAAGAGGAGTGTCAAAGATAATACGATAGTTAATATTTATTGAGTGCTTTTTAGGTGAGGAAGCTGCTCCACCTGCTTTCTATGTATTAACTCAATTAATCCTCACAACCACCACTTAGGTTGGTACTGCTATGAGCCCAATTACAGATGAGGAAGTTGAGGCATGAGAGGCTAGATAACTTGGTCAAGGTCACACAGCCAGTAAGTGGTGGTCTAGGTATTAAAACCCAGACAGTTCAGTACAAGATTCTTTCCCTCCAAAGTCCTTTAATACTTCTACCATGCCCCTTTATCAGCTGATGAAGCAAAAATTAGGCTACTCTCTGGTTGGGAATGGATGACAGATGGTTTCTGGTCCATGCAAATTTTTTTTTTTTTTTTGTGGGTCCTCTGTTGTGAGGTCACTCCTGCCTGGTTCCCATCCCCTTTGTGATGTGGTGTGAGGTCACATCTGCTGGGTTCCTCACCTTTTTATGATGTGGGCCCTTTGGTGTGAGGTGGTTGGTCCATGTAAATTTAATTATCTTAAACTACCTTAGGCAGCTTAGGCAGCTTTGTGAAGTAATTAAAGAAAAAGTACCCTCTTAAAAAACAAAACAAAAAAATATTTTTAGGGCTTCCCTGGTGGCACAGTGGTTGGGAGTCCGCCTGCCGATGCAGGGGACGTGGGTTCGTGCCCCGGTCCGGGAGGATCCCACATGCCGCGGAGCGGCTGGGCCCATGAGCCATGGCCGCTGGGCCTGCGCGTCCAGAGCCTGTGCTCCACAGCGGGAGAGGCCACAGCAGTGAGGGGCCCGCGTACCAGAAAAAAAAAAAAAAGTTTTAATGATGCTTCACATTCCACCATTAGAGATTTTTTTACTTAAAACATTATTTCTATTTTAATTAATTTATATCTGTAATCATTTACACCTTAATTTGAGTGAAATTATCAAAAATTTTTTCCTCAAAGCCTTTATGATCAGGAACACTAGAAAGTCCTGGGAAGCTAGCAACAGGAGCTCTGAAGGTAAACACTGCTAAATCCATAATTTTATTTAGGGTTGGCCTTAACTGTGATCCTTATGTGTGAAATATAAGTTTAGGTAAAATTGCCTTGGAAGGCAAAAAACTCATCTAAGTACTACAATTTCATGAAAAAAAGTGATTCTCTTAGATGTATTTTTTCTTTCTTTAAAAATGTTTTCAAATGAAGCATTTCAAACATACAAAGAAACAAAGAGAGAGGTACAGTGAACCCCGATATACCCATTACCAAAATTCAACAATTATCAAGATTTGGGCATATATGTTGTATCAGTTTTTCTTTCCTTCCGCATCTTTTCTTCCTTTCTTTTTTCCTTCCTTCTTTCCTCCTTCCTTCCTTCCTCCCTCCCTCCCTCCCTCCTTTCTTTCTTTCTTTCTTCCTTTCTCTTCCTTCCTTCCTTCCTTTCTTTCTTTCTTCCCTTCCTTCTAAAAATTTTAAAAGTAGAGCCCCAGACACCATTTCATTTTCTCTTATATACTTCAGTTTGCATTACTAAAAACTGTACATTTTCTTACATAACATTACAAAACCATTAATGGTATTCCTTATAAATCGACAATTAATTCCATTTACTATGTAGCCCATTGTAAACTTTTCCCAACTGTCCTAAAAAAGTATGTTTTACAGTTGGTTTGTTTGAATCGGTTTTCAAACAAAATACAAGGTTACATTTGGTTCTTACATCTCCTGAGTTTCTTCTAATCTCCTGTATTTTCCCTCATGACACTGACATTGTGGCAGAAGCCTGAGCAATTTGAGCTGTAGAGTATGCCACATTTTAAATTTGACTGCCTCTTTGTAGCGTCACGCACTGTGCTCATCTATCCCATATACTTTCTGTAAATGGAAGCTGTTTTTAGAGGCTTGATTATATTCAGTTTCAATTTTTTAGCAAAAAAACTTTTTTTTTTTTTTGCGGTACACGGGCCTCTCAATGTTGTGGCCTCTCCCATTGCGGAGCACAGGCTCTGGATGCACAGGCTCAGCGGCCATGGCTCACGGGCGCAGTCGCTCCGCGGCATGTGGGATCTTCCTGGACCAGGGCACGAACCCGTGTCCCCTGCATGGGCAGGCAGACTCTCAACCACTGCGCCACCAGAGAAGCCCAGTGAAAAAAAACTTTTATAAGTGGTATATTAGTTTTCTATTGCTGCTTTAACAAATTACCACTAATGCTTTAACAAATTACCACAAACTTAGTGGCTTAAAAGCAACACATTTTTTTTACTTTCAATTCTATAGGTTGGAAGTCCCACATAGATCTCACTGGGCTAAAATTCAGCTTTGGGCCGGGCTGCATCCCCTTCTGAAGGCTTGAGGGGAGAGCTTCCTTGCCTTTTCCAGCTTCTCAAGGCTGTCCATATTCCTCAGTTCTCGTCTCCGCTTCTCCAACTTCAAAGTTCACAGGTTGAATCCTCCTCACATTGCATCATTCTGAGCTCTTCTTCTCCTTCCTTCTTCCCTCTTTTAAGAACTGTTGTGATTACTGGGGACCAAGTGGATAATCCAGAATAATCTCCTTTTTTTAAGGTCAGCTAATTAACAACCTTAATTCCATCTGCAACCTTAATTCCCCTGCCATGTAACCTAACATATTCACAAGATTCTGGAATTAGGAAATAGACATCTTTGGGGGCAGGGGGAGCAGGCATTATTCTGCCTCCCACAAGCAGTAATTCATTTTGAATCCTGTCAGAAGGCACATAATCTTTGGTTATCCCCATTTTAATGTTGTTAAAATGTATCATTAATTTTCATCTGATAGTTTTGTCTGTTGATGACTCTTACTTGAATCAGTTAACTAGGGATTGCAAAATGATTTTAAATTTATTTTGTTTTGGCTGTGTTGGCTCTTCATTTCTGTGCGAGGGCTTTCTCTAGTTGCGGCAAGCGGGGGCCACTCTTCATCGCGGTGCGCGGGCCTCTCACTATCGCGGCCTCTCCTGTTGCAGAGCACAGGCTCCAGACGCACAGGCTCAGTAGTTGTGGCTCACGGGCCTAGTTGCTCCGCGGCATGTGGGGTCCTCCCAGACCAGGGCTTGAGCCCGTGTCCCCTGCATTGGCAGGCAGATTCTCAACCACTGAGCCACCAGATAAGCTCCCTGGCAGGAGTTCTTTAGACCCAACCAAGTTGTCAATTACTTGCCGCGCAGTCTTAATTTGGATGTTTGGTGGTGGTCTGGGTGGATCTTTTCAAGTCCAAAGAGATAGAGCAATAGGAGAATGAGAAAGACTGAGGGGGTAAAGCCTTGGCCTCAGTGTGCTTCTTCCCAGCCAGAGAACTGGTCTCTGCCAGATCCTGCAGGCGACGTCAGCTGCCACTTAACGGGCTACTTGAATCTACATGGCTCAGGATAAGTCCCAGCCACCCTTCAGAGGGGAGCCATAGCCCAATAGGCGGATCGAGATTATGGCCTTTGAGGCCCCGCATTGGGTGCCAGAAAAGATGTTGAAGGAAAGAGAGTGGGGTGCGAGAAGATGGGCACATCCCAAGTCATGTCTGAGTCCCTGGGATGGCCGCCAAGTGTGGGTTCTTGGCTTTGTGCAGGCAAGAATTCAAGAGCAAGACATAGTAAAGTGAAAGTTTTATTCAGGGAGATACACACTCCATAGACAGAGTGTGGGCTATCTTGGAAGGCAAGAGGCTGCAAAATGATTTTATAGTTCTATCATTCTTTCTACATTTATTTGCTAGAAGTTTGCTGGAAATCTTCTGTAAAGAATTTTCCCTCATCAATTAGAAATACTGGATATCCAGAAATACATTTCACACTGCAAAGGCAGGATAAATGCTTAATTCTCTTATTTAAATTATCCTTTTTTCAAAGGCCCACTCATATTATGGAAGGTAATCTGCTTTACTCAAAGTCTACTCATTTAAATGTTAATCTCATCTAAAAAAACCTTCACATCTAGAATAATGACTGACCAAATATCTGGGTACAGTGCCCTAGCCAAGTTGGCATAAGTTTAGAAAATAGTCTCCTCTTGTGTATCTCCTTTACTCTCACACCACTATCACACTCACAGTATTTCTGACACCAAATGTGGGGGGGTTTTACACACACCTAGCAATTCTGTGACACCAGCTGGATGTCAGGCAAATTGACTCAATTCTGACACTATC